TGGACTGCCTTGACTCAGGCGCACTCCTTTAAGCACTCTGAGTCTTTCATTACTTTTAATAAATTTGCTTTCATTCACACCGAATCTGGGGCATTCGCTGTCATTCACATTTTGTGTGTTTTAAATTAAAAAGGATTACAGTTTTCGGAAAGTACATTCTCTTAACTTTCTGTGGTTTTCCAACTTTTGTATTGTTAGACTTCATTTAGTTCAGATTACAGTCTTATGTGCCAGTTTCCCCACTGCTCCAGCTAATTAAACCTGGTCTGTATTATGAACAGGTCCGATAATCCCTTTGATGAAAACAGATAGGAAAGTGCCCTTGTGCTGTAAAAAACAGCAGGAAAACTGCAAATGCAACAGCAAAAACTCACGTACACGAGTTTGTGTGTGTGTGTGTGTGTGTGTGTGTGTGTGTGTGTGTGATGGAGGACAAAATAAGGACGGTGAGCAGGCTATGTGAATGACACATCGCTCCACCTAATAGGCTCTCTTGCCATTCAGACTCCCTCTTTGGTCTTGATCTCTGAGCTCTCTCTCTCTCTGCCTCCCTCCCTCGCTCCATCTCTTTCTTTCTCTCTCTCTCTCCCAAACACACACAGACGTTATTGTTACACTACCTAAAGATAGTTAACCAGCAGTGTCGTGATATGAGATTTTTTTTAAATTAATTTCTTAGCTCGTGCGCACAGACATAGGCAAAGACTATTTGCTGGTGTTTCAGGGCTCTCCTGCTGTGTACATTCAGCACCATGAACACACACACACACTCGTGCACACGCACACACTCTAGCACACACATACCAGCAGTGCTAATAGTCCCAGAGACGACCAGTTGCCAGTTGACTGAGAGGTGGCCTGATCAAGGTAGCTCTGATCAGTTTCGTTAAGTGATCTTAATTTTAAGCCGCTAACACTACATTCAACCATTCTTTTGAAGGGAATGCCACAACAATGCAGCCCATCACATAATACAGGTGAGTCATGAAAACCAGACTTGTGTCACAGTTTTGGTTTGATAAACCTTTTAACGACTTCAAGATTTTTGGTAGTTGTTTATTTTTGTATTTGAATTTTACTCAATATTTCTCCATTTGTGGAAATCAATCTGTTTTTACCACTTTTTATTTGCTACTTTTTTATGTCATGCAGTGTTTTGTGTTTAAGATAAAGGAGTTTATTCAGAGTGTTAGTGTCAGTGGTAGTACACTCCGACTCATGTATGTATGTATGCGAGTGCTGCATCTGAGTCTATTTTCTAACATAACTATCTCTGGTCTTTATGTTTCTTATTTCATTTCTTTATTTTAAGATGAACGATTGAAAGTCCAGCAAAAATGCAATACCATCTAATTGTACCACAAATGGAAGGTTGTTTGTTTTTCAATTTCAAATTTGTCATATGAAAACTTTTTTGATGTAAGTATTACAAAAAGATACATTTAACCCAAAAAAGTGTCCTCGTCCTGGACCATCCCAATTCATCTTGAATGTGTTCACTGTCTGCTAACAGTGATTGTTAAAAGATTTGATAATCTGAGTTACAATATCATTCTTGATGTGTGACGAAGAGGAAATCAAGATGCACTGTAAAAAGGGAAGCAGTTGTGTCTCTTATATCACTGAGATGGCAATAAAACAAAATGCAACGTAATGCACTTGAACAGTTGTACAAAGAGGGGAAGATAAAGCACAAGAGGAAAGGTGATGATTTAGATTTCATCCCTTTTTGGAATAGATGTACCGGAACATGAAATGGAGATTATCTGGGTATCTTTGACAGTAAGTACAGTGTATCGCCATTGTTAAATGTTAAATGTCAGTTTTGAATAAATTATTGTCAAGAAAACTGATATTTTAATATTTAAAAAACATTCTCATATAAAAGTGCTACAAGCTGCCTATATGTCTTCATAAAAGCTGAGTCAATCATATTTGTAAAAAGGAAAATTGAAGAAAAGGGAGAGGAAATAGGAGAGTGTAAAGGGATTAGGCTGTTGATTGGATATGGTTCCCAATTCAGCTCCCTGCCAGTGCCATTAAGAAGGAGGAGATACAACAGTAAAGAAGGGGGAAGAGAGGACAAGGAGGAGGTGGAGGAATTAGATTGTTATGGAGTCAAGACCCCGAACAGGCTGTCAGATGCTGCTCATTTGCTCCACAGTCTCTCTTTACATGCACACAAACCCACGGCTGGTGTGTGTGTGTGTGTGTGTGTGTGTGTGTGTGTGTGTGTGTGTGTGTTTGTGTGTGTGTCCCAGTGATACATCTTAATTACACAATGGGGTGCAGGCCATGTGCCATCTCATCATGCCATGACAAATCTCATAAGCAGCACTAGAGAGCGTGAGAGGAAGAGTGAGAGAGTGAGTGAAACCATGTGCACACCATATCTATACAGAAAAGAAGGACAAGCAGAATTGAAGCAGCACAATTTTTCTTGGGTGAAACTACTGTGATCCCTCTTTTAAGGGTTCGATTGGAGAACATAAAAGACTTTCGTGACTGTTTAGCCCTGTCAATACTAAAAAACTGCAGTTGCTACCATTGAGCGGATCTAGTTTTGTCCCAGGATGAGCTGGCGGATGAATACACAGTTCTAAAGCATGTCGGGGAAAGAATGGGGCTGGGGGCGTTTCTGTGGCCCGCTGAGTCATAGTGGCCAGGGTGAGCTCTAAAAGCAGCCCCCCAGCCCCCCAGAGTAATGGTTAATCGTGGGAAGTCTGGTGTTAGGGTAAGTGTGCCTGTGTGTAGGCCGAGCCTGTTTGTGGCCAGTTGCGGTGGGTTTTGGCGTGCCGTGGTGTGACAGGGCCAGTCAGGCGGATGGGGCGTGTGTTGTTGTAGCCGTGGCGGTGGGGAAAGCCTAGTACAAGCAGCTCTCAGCTCTGCTGGCTGGGAAAAGAGCCGGGGCAGCTCTCCCATAATCAAAAGCAAAAAAAAAAAAAAAAGCTCTGTCCTTTTGTCTTCATGTCTGTTGTGTTCCCTCTGCTGTGGGTTTGGGAGTCCGTCTGTGTGTCCGCCTTGTTGTCTGTGACTGTCCCGTTGTAACATTCGGTCCTATTCTGGACACTTGTGTGGTGACACAGACATAGTCCACTTCCTGGAATGGTGGTGTCGTCCCAGGAAGTGTCACCTTTGAACCACAAAGCGCTGACCAGAAAGTTGTAAATGGCAGAGAGTGACGTTCTCCTAATCACACAGAAACAGAAAATGTACATCATACTTTATGTAACACACAGCAGTTTTGGATGAACTTTATTTCCACAGGTAATGAACATACAACAACAGGAAAAGGCACGTAATACAGAGTGGGAAAACAACTGTTATGGAGGGACACAAACCATTTGATTTAGGTGTGATGACTGATGGATCAAGTTGGACCAAGTCTGTTCCAGTCTGGGTCTATTGGCAGTAAGGAGATGAAATGTCACAGCTCCATCCACCATCTATTCCGAATTTAGAATACCTCCTGCGTTTTTTACGCTTATAAGCAATGATTTCAGTATGAATGACACAAGCAAACTGTCTTTTTGATTAATCAGTTTTTATTTTGCCAAATTAACATGTTAGAGTTTGTGTTCTCCAGGATTTTGGTGGTGTCTTATCGAAGCAAATTTAATAATCCTCAGTGTGCTGTCTTTTCATTTGCTTAGTCATTTAGTATGTGGTCTTTTCTGGCCGTTCACGTTATTATACCAGTACCTTAACTATGTGTGATCTTCAAATGGTTTGTAGAACTAACTGTAGTTGATGTATTTTCTCTTGTCAAACCTAAAGAAACCGTTTCTTAACGGTACAGTAGGTGATATTTTAAAACTGACTTTGCTGCACAGTACTTTTTTTTCTTTTAAGCTAAAAACCCATGCCCATTCCTGCCCTTTAGTGTACTGCTATTTTTAACTGCCCAATAAAGGACAAACAAACCAAAGAAGGGACACTTAGGCTACCAAGTCTCCTGCCATTTGTGGTATAGTGCCCCTTTAAATACAACAAGCAGACATTTATCATAAAGCTCTGGATAGTTTCCTTTCTTATTGGCTCTAAGAAGGGTACATGTAACATGTTGCCTCTTGGCAAATATTGATCCTTGTTGATATGTAACAAGTGTTCATGCATGTATCTGTGGGGACACCTATGCAGATGTGTATTAATGTTAAATCCCGTGGTACAGCTCAGGCTCGCTCTGTGTCTTTGTTGTCGTGTCTGATGCGGGATAATTGGCTCTCTGTCACTCAGACCTGCAGCAGCTGCGACTGCAGAGCGTCACAGTTTCACAAATACACCATTCACCGAGCTGCATTATTCCTTGAAAGTCTCAGTACTGTGTAGAATATAAGAACCAAAATGTATGAATACAGTTTAGAAACACATGCACACGTTTTGCTCATATATACACACATACACTCAGACGGCTGCACATAAGAGTAACTAAGGACTGGAACTCTGACATAATTTACTGCCTGACTGCATTTAACATCTGCTTTCTCCTTCCCAGCTCTTCATCTCATCCAGTTTGAGCTGGAGTCACTGAATAACATAAAACTTTTCTGTCAGAGTGTCTTCAGCATTTGAATTATACGTGAGGGACTGTGCCTCTGCTGAGTGTGTGTGTTTGTGTATGTATGCCATTGCAGTGCTGTGATTTCTGTTCTTAAACCAGGCTTGGATGTAAAATTGCTGATTTTTCTTCGCATTTTTAATAAGTACTTCAAAAAAGACATCAGGTCCAACATTTCATAGTGCATGCTCGGTTTGCCATGCCCCCCAAAACTGGACTGGACTGAGACCGTGTGAGAAAAGTCTTTCTATAACAAACCTCAGACCATGACAGAAGGATAAACAAAAACAAAAAACACTTTCTTTTACAGGTGAACTCCTGAGTCAAACACAGGCCTGCTCATGATTTCTTTCGGTCTATCTGATGCCACTCCTGCAGGCTCAGGTCACAGCTCCATTATTTGTCAAAGACTCACTGATTTCTTCTGTCTTCATCTCTGCAGGCACAGAAATCGTGGATAGAAAGAGTATTCAGCAAGAGAGAATGTGTTCATATCATAGTGAGCGCCAAAGACCCCCATAGGTAAGTAACAATGTATGTGAAGGAAATGGAAAAAATATGAATGCATTACTTGGTGTGTTTACCTGTAAATTACATTGTTCTTCGTTCCAGATAGTTGTTTTTGTTTTGAATTGCGGAAGAAGCAAAGGATAAAGAAAGTATTTTTTAGCTAAAATAAGTATATGTATTTAGGATTAAGCTGCTTCTTTATTTGCTATAAAATACCTTAACGAGTGAGTTAGCCAATGTGACCTCACAGATAGCATATTAGGAGCCCTGTTTCACCACTGACCTTTTAAAACATGCCTCAGAGTAATATCACGCTGGCCTCTATTTGCATCACAGTTAGATGTTCTACACTAATGAGCTGAAATACTGACATTACACATTTTTAAACCACAAATGTGAAACTCAGGGCCAGGCCAGTTCATCCTTTCATCATTTTAAAAGGTTATTAATTCAAGCAACACTCAAGATCGAGCCCACGGGTGTATGCTGCATAGCAGTACAGCAATGTGTAACTGTGAAAGTAGTGAGGATATACGTATAATAATACTTTAACATGATTGTAATGATAAGAGCACTTCCAACAAAATGTGATGTCGTTTTGAGAGAGACACTTCAGCGCTCATTATCTCAAACATCTCCTCTCATTCTGCTCCACAAAATCACTGTCACACTGACGTTATCGAAGTCTTTACCACAGCTGATGTTGTTGCTTTGGGTGACAAACTCACAGAGACAAGTCTAATTCCTGCAGTACCGGCCCTCACACACACACACACACACACACACACACACACACACACGCACACACACACACACACACACAGGAAATGACACTGTTTGTTAGATAAACAGAATTAACATAACTTGAGGAAAGCGTGTGGAAGCCAGAAGGAGGGGAAAGAGATGTTCCTCAAGATCAAATCAACTTTTCTCTTTTTAGTCATAAACACTTGTGTTGACGCATTAGGCAGAGGGAGGCAAAGTACCTTTGGTAAGAAATGACAATAACATGAAGTGACGATCAAAGCCTCCTGACTTCCTTTCCTCCCAGGGCTCCCACTCCATCCTCTTAAGGTTAAAATACATAATATGAAAGCTGCATTCAGTACATCTGAATAAGCATGTACTCGGGTAGGAATACTACAATTCATATAACTGTCATTCTGCTAACTCCTCTAGTTGCTGAAAGGGAGAAGGAGAGGAGAACATCAGGGAGCAGAAAACAAAAAGAGACAGAGCCAATAAAAGATTGCAGGGGCCTTCAGATCTTTCTCCTCCTCTCCTCCCAATCAGGAGATGAAAGTCAGATGACAAGCTGTCACTTCGTCCTTGCCCACCTCTTACTGTTAAGCACACGACTATGGCAGTTCTCAAGCTTTTTCTCACCATCTCTCAGTCACACACAAGCTCTCTCTCCCTCTCTCACTCTCTCTCTCTCTCTCTCTCTCTCTCTCTCTCTCTCTCTCTCT